TAATTTCTGATATTCATATTGATCTGTGTTATTCAGTTTAGGGCGTAGCACCTTGTGTATCAAATTGCCCTTCAATCACTCTTAGGGCAATACCTGGGCAATATGAAACACCTGTCAGTCACAGATTCCAATGTTTTCTCACATACAAAATGAGTAGGTTCAAACAGAGAACTGCCAAAACAAAGGAATTGGCCTTGTGGTTCCATTAGCTCTGGACTGTATTTACCATAAATATGGCTTTTTTCTAAATGAGGATCAAGCGGTGAGCACTGTGAAAAATGATTGAGTCAGAACAAAAAACACACATGACATATGAATTTTTCTGAATATATCTATATTGCTTGTACTTTGAAAGTGTAACAGAACAGCTCACAAACATCTGAAAAGGAAATTTGAAGAAACTATCCCTGATCGCAGGGATTCACTCATCACATAAAAAGAAAATATCAACTGTGCCAGACAAAGTGTGACAGCAACGGTAAACACAACTATTCATTATTTTATTTAATGCGCAGAGTTAGGACAAAAATTTCAATACACTGCATCATTGTTCAAGATACTGTAGAAATTAGACCAAAAGAAAAACTGATTTCATTCCGTAGTAACTGTGATTGAATGTGAAGATACAGAGGAGATGTGCAGGGCTGCACAAGTGTGTTGGGGAGCTGAGAGTCCGCGACATGCTGATGGCGATCTGTGTACTGATTTGCTGAGAGTATCCACTGGGACAAATGTGACAGCTAGCGCATGCGCATGTGCAGACTGTGCTTGGGTCCGTCCACCCGCTCCAACTTCTCAAAGTGTTTCCTAGCATTACGGATATTGATGAGAGTGGCGGCAGAGGCTAGAAAATAGAAAAATAATTAATTAGGATTGTGATTGTTTGCTATTGTTTGAATCATACACTCAAGGCAAAGGACGGCCATTTTCACTACTTACGAATGGACGGGTCTGACATGATGACCATGACATATGTGTTGGAGGTGAAGACGTCAATGAAGGCTGCAAAGTTGGAGTTCCTCACTTCCATGCTTTGGAAAGAGGCTGCAAGTTTACTGGAATTAAGATATTTTAAAAAGAAATGAGAAACATCATACAAGTGTACCAGATGATTTTGGCAGTAAAGGAGATGTTTTTGTGTGAACTTACCTACAGCTGAGTTTGAACTGTTTGATAATGTTACTGATCTTCTCGAATCTGTGAGCATCACGCTGCTCTTTGCACTGATAGTGGGAGATCACCTGGATTTACAAAAACATTAATGATCAGAAGATGCTGCATAAGATACACGCCATCCTGGACAATGTCTCCCACCCTCTCCATGACGTGCTGGTCAAACACAGGAGCACGTTCAGTGCAAGACGCAGATCACAAAAATGCCATTCAACTATATAACTCCTCCCTCTAAAAATTTTTTAGTCATAACAAGCACATCCATTTGCACTAAATATCCAATGTACAGTACGCACAATATTGTATATATTTCATATTTTATTTTTTATCTTATATGCTATATTTCTACCTTTTACTTGGAGCAATCGTAACAAACAAATTTCCCCCTGGGATCAATAAAGTATTTCTCATTCTGAAGACGACTTTCATTTCCAGATTCAGATTTTCTTTTTTGTCAAAGGAAGTGGTCGCTCTCACCAGGAAGGTGGCTCTCTCAAACAGAAGAACTTCATCTGCCTCAATGATTTGTGCAAAATTCCTCAGGTTCGTTTCCAGCTGCTGGACGTTTGGTATGAGCTGATACACGATGCTCGACCAGGCCTGCAAGCACACGTTAACATGTTTCTGATGCCTTTATCAACTTTATCAGCCAAAAAATTCAACAAACAACTGTATGTATTCACAACCTTATACAGGGTTTCATCCCAGATCGATGTCCTGAAGCATGTGCAAGCCAGAGGTCGAGAGAGTCTCTTCAAGTCTTCTTCACGCTCCTTAAAGATCTGCAAAGACAATGAACACAGTAAAATCAGTGGACAGTGACAGTGTGAATATTTGACATTGCAAAGAGAACTACAAAAGAGCCGCATCTCTGATGAACGATGAAGAAAACGTCAAAGCTCACCAAATCTCTCTGGTCTTCCTGAACCAGGTCCATTTTGTGCACGAGGCAGAAAACTTTGGCATCAGGGGAGTTCTGCAGGATGGCCTCCAGACATGACTGGTAGTAATGCATGTCTTTCTCCAGCTCCCGACTCTCAACATCAAATACGTAAATAAGCACCTCCACGTTTCTGAAAATGTTGTCCCTCTGGCTGGTGAAGTAGTTCTCCATGAACGTGTCCTGGCTGTTGTGTAGAGAAGCACAGAGAGTGTTTAACAGGGGCTGTTAGATCAGGTACATTTAATCCGGTATATGCACAGTAAATAAAAAAGAGATATACTTTACCCTCCACAGTCCCACAGGTTTAGAACAAGATTGCCAAGAAATCGTACATGTGAGTGCTCCACGTCAACTACATTAAACAGATGAATGACAAAAAAAGGTTTGGATTAAGTAAAAAAAACATAGAGAACCAAAAAACGTATTGCTATGTAGCACCTTTCTATAAAAGATCTTACTTGTAGCTCCAAGGCGGCGCGTGTCTCGAGCTATGTAATTAGCAAATATGATTGATCTCATACTGGTCTTTCCAGAACCACTTTTCCCCATCAGTAGTACCTGAAAACACAAATACAACCCATTACACCATCACTAAAGCTGTCGTTACTCACTGCTAAAATACTCCTTTGGAAAGGAGCATTTTGATGTTGGGGCTAGAGGAGATGGATCCAACTTCAAAAGATTTATAAAAGGATATTTTTAAAGGCAAAACCAGACCTACCTTTTTAGACTAGCTGCTAATTGAATTGTAGTTCATTTCATCTAAATTTTTCATCTTAAACTGTTATACATTTATATTATTTAATTTAAGTATTTTTTCAATTATTGACTTATATACTTTCTCTGAATATTTTCACCTTCTGTCTGTTAATGTACTCCTCTGATAGTATTTTATTTTTATCCTTTTCACATCTCTTGTATTATTTTATCTTTTTTTTTTCTAATTCTTCTCACCTGACTTTGATGTTTCCTCATTTCAAGTTTATGAGATTTACAACAGCAGTTCCTGTTAATGTTATTATGTTACCTCCTCTATGGAGTTTATGTTTCACCCTTGTCTGTTCTTTTGTAAGTAACATCACAGAAAAAAAACAAGTTCAGATTTCCAGAAAACTTAGAGAAATGTGCTGTGGGAAGAACCCATTAAATCATGATAGGGTGTTCAACATTTCCAAAGGGAATAATTCACAAATCACATATTCAGGGAGCTGATAACTATGTGTGAAATATGGTGCAGCTTGATTGAATTTGAGGGGACTGTTGGGCCTTGGCAGAGGTATGAGCTCCTCTGAGAGCCATTCTAGTTTTTATAGTCGTAATCTTTTCATTCTGTGTTGCACTTTGTGTCACATTGTTTTTCATGAGCGATTGATTGATCGATTGCACTTCACCGCTGCCTGTGGAGTTAAGAGTCACCTTTTTCTTCATTGCTGTGCTTGACATCCCCCTCAGCAGACACGGTGTGGAGTGTTGCTGTGAGCCGCAGGTCAGGTGACTTCACTCGGCTCTCCTCTCTCCTTCAGCTGCGGAGCACACGCAGATATGTTTCACCTAGCTGACACTTGGCTCTGCTGAACCCGTGTCCCCTGATCCTGTAGATACGGTCCGTGGTCCGAACACTCAAAACCGTGGACGAGTCTAAATGATTAAACAGTCTGACGCACACATACAATAAATAATCAACATCTTATTTATGTTGGATAAACTCTTTTCCTTGCTACGGGATAAACACCTAAGCTAATGCTAACAGAGCTAGCACCACAGAGCAGATACATGTCAATAAGCTTAGCCAGGCTAAACGGCAAGCTAGCTAAGTTGAAATCCGGCCGCGTGTCGTCTACTCACCGCGTGTCTTCTCTTCAAACAGGTTCTCACTCTGTTCTTTAACTTGTTTTTAAGAATACACTTGTTCACGTTACTTGGTGGAAGCAGGCAGTGAAGTCAGGATCAGCTGCTTCCTGTTTACGCCAAAGTCACATGATGAGAAACCGTACCTCTGCCCCGAGTGTGGTCTCACAGGCGCAGCAGACCGGATTAATTATTTATGTTACAGCTCAGTTAATAAAGAAAAAATAATGTGAAGGTTAAGACATCCGATAAGATGTGACTCTCGTATGTGTCGTTTTTGGAAACCGAGAGTTAAAATGCCTTATAGACAGTACGCAGAGAAAAATATCCCTTCTCACATTCCTCTAAAATAATTTTGAGTTATCTCAATATCAGTGAATTTAAGTGTAAAGATGAACGAACTAACGTTTTTTAAATGTTAAGTATAATGCAACCAGGTTATTAGACCATCAGGGTTCAGGGGTGTTACAGTGGTGGGATGTAAATGACTTTTTTGTGACGTTTCAATCTTTCTCCACTATGTATATAAATAAATATACATATATGTACTCAATACTTGTTTATTATTTAATTTAAACTGATATAATAATGAGGAAGGAATTGGTAACTCATACAATCAGTGCAGGCAGGTAACATTAGACCCGCCTCCTGCAGCGGCATCACTGGTGAAGAAGAATCACCTAAAATATTCTGAAGATTATAGAATAATTCTTCAAATATATAATTACGTTTTAGATGGCATAATCATATACTTGAAGAATTATTCTATAATCTTTCATTCGTTTTCCACTGGAACCATACAATGCTAATGTACACACAATCAAATCAAATACTGGTATATATAAATAACATTACATACACCTATATAATATTGATTAATGACACCTTTCATTTCCTGGCCATACTTCAGCAGAAAAAAGCACTGCAATTTCTGAGGTGTCACAGAAATGTGGATATACGGTGTGTGAGTTTGTCACCACAGAGAGATTCATATGGATTTACTGAAAACTATAAATTCATTGAGAAGTCAAAACAATAAAAGTATTATAAAACTTTATTGTTTACTTACTTTATGTAATCTCCAAACTGAAACCCCCCTCCCAAACAATCAGTGACAACACCAAAGATGACCAGACTCAAACACACCTAAGCTAATCATCTGATATCTTCTTAAAATTATTATTATTTGTCAGAAGAAAAATACAACAAATCAACACAATATTTCTATTCACCAGTAAGGAGGGGGAAGAGGGGGTCTTCCATTATCTGATTATAAGAGAAATGCATATATGCCTTCTGCAATCATGCACATACAAAGAAAATAACTGAAACCCATTATCCAAAAACTTTCATCTTATAAACCACAAGTATGCATAACTTGTATAGAAATAATATACAGGGTAATAACTGTTGCAATCCAAGTTATTTTCAGGTGTGGAGATTTTAAGTATACACATTTAATAGTTCTGTTAGCTTGGGGTGTCTAATTGATGAGGTTATCATGAGCACTGAACCAGTAAGGGCCGTTATGTGTGGGAAAAAAACAATAATAATGTAACTCCTCCAGACAGATATGAGATGTAAAGAGGAGCGAAGACATGGTACAGATATAAAGTGTTTGGGAGTAATATTCAGGTAGTGACGTCCACTGCAGTCCTCCTTTACATTTGATCTCTGAGTCTGGCGAGCCTTTGAGAGAGTTCATCCTTTGGACAAAAGAGAGCAAAGACAGAAAGAGAGGATGAAGATGATGATGACAAAAGAATCAGGGTTATTCAGAGAATATCTTTCTCTACGCCTGGGCCACACTAGATGTCTGAGCGGCAGGTGTGCATCACACACTGTCGGCCATGTTATCAGCAGCTGTGCTTCCTTTCGAAATTCGGGGTCTCATCCCTTTTTTATCTTTGTACCACATGCAGTTTGCAGCAAATCAGACAGTGAAAATGATCTTTTACCACAGTTTCAAATGTCTATTTGACGACTTTGTCATAAACATAAATATTTGAAACCATTCTGTCCATTCATTCATCCATTCATTTTTCTTCAGTTTCATACCGTAGAGTTCTGGCATTTAGCAGAGTACATAGGCCTACTTTTATTCGAGGAAATACAGTAGTCATACCAGAAACATCACATAGCAGCTCAACAGCAGACACATTCCTTCGTGAATAACAAACGCCTGCAAGGTGCAGTTGTTCAGCGATGCAGCGTCACGTGCTGCACACGCACCTGGTGTGGCCCAGGAGCTACGCTTTTTGCATTTTTAAATTCTTTGTTTTTACAAACTTTGTTTTACATTTACTTGTGACTAAAGTGCAAAACAAGGATGTTGTGAGAAGTAGAAGCGTACCTGTTCTGCAGAGGCCACGCTGGTACCCACTGATCCTGTCTGTCCCTGAGGGAGCTCCATGTTCAGGTCCAATCTAAACACACAGACATTTCAAACTTACTTTTAGATTAAAGTCACAGTGTCTTTGCTTACACTCTACTAAATAATACAGTTTTAAATATTCCTCAAATGTCTGTCAAATTCTTTGACATAACAACACTGCAATCTGTGCCTGAAGTCTATGAATTCAAATATCTGTATATCTATACATAAATCTTATATTATTTAAACAAATTCATTGGGAAAAAAATTGATAAAATAAAAACGTACCCAGCTTCATCTGCCATTTCATGCAGCAATGAGTCCACTTGGTTCTGAAACACACATTAGAAAAAATTGATATACAGTGAATTTGTTGAAAACACAGTGAGACCACAAGAATGACCAGAAGAGCAGAGACATGTACCTGTGGTGTTGTGAGTGTTGTCGTGCTGCTCATGGTGTCCTCCATTTGGGCTGTCTGAACATCCAGGGTTTCAAACTGCCGTTCAAATTTGTCCATGAGAGCTGAAATCTGAACGCAAAGAGGTTGATGAATAGTATGATGATTCAGAGACAAAAAGACTAAGGGGAAATACTACTTTTATATGTAAATGCCACTCACCTTTTCTAAGTTCATACTCTTCAGGGTTATGTCCATGCCTTTCACCACTCCACCCATAGATTTAGTGACCTGTGAAATAAAATTATCAAAATTATCATAGATTCAATTATCAAAACAGAAATCAAAACTAAGCTTTGAGTCAGGATTGCTAATGGTCAGCCAGTAACTGATTTGCTAGGCTTACAGCAATATGAGCCTGTTTTCAACGTACCTGGTTCAATGTCAGTGCAGTTTGAACCCTTGCTGCGACTGCATCTACCCGAGCGCTCATCCTCAGGAAGTTCACAGACTGGTTCTTCTGTCTGATGGCGTTCTCTGCATGGATCCTCGCCACTTCTGTATTCCCCTTCTGTATGGCCTAGAGACGACACAATAATAATTTGGTTCAGTAAAAAAATAACCAGGAAGCTTCTTTCAGTAATGTGTTATTGTGATGACTGATTTCAAAGGTGCAACTTACTTTCTTAACTTTCAATTTCTCCGCTTTTTCATCTTTGTCACATTTCGTGGAGTTTCTTTTGAGTTCTTTGGCAGCAATTCTTAAATTGAAGAGATGTTCTGAAACATGAGGTTAAGGAAGAACAAAGTCCAAACAAAAACAACAATTTCTTGTTTCGGCCATCGGTTATGTCCTGTGGTATTGGGCCGCCCAGCTCATAATATCAGCTAACCTCGAGATAATTTGGGCTCTACACCACTATAGCACAAAATGTTTTCCACACATCAAACCTGGAGCCTTCTAGGTGCTTTTAAATACTAACAATTATAGAGAATTACCTGCTTAGCTCAGTTTGTAATCCAACCTTGGATCCATATTTATATTTTCTTACCTTAATAGGTTTAATACACAGCTAGACCGATAAATCTGACATGCTGATATATTGGCCTCGGTGTGCATGTCAGATGATAAGTACCAGGAAATGTCAGGACTGAATTGCCAAACTAGTTTTGAGGCCAGTTGCAGGCAGTTTGTCCACCAGAGAGCAGTGACAAGTTTATTTGTCAACTAGATAATGACTAGATGAATAAAGTGTGCATTCACACAGTGAATATATACAATAAATAAGAAAGAAAAGGTAAGAGATCAGACACAAGATGATTGTGTTAAAAAAAATCCTATTGGACAACATACTTGATTTTGAACTCAAGTATTATTATTGATAAAGAGCTTTTTTTCCAATTTATTATTTTGTCTAGTAATGGTAAGCATGGTAATGACGTAATCTATGATGTTTATTACGCAGACAAATTACCCAACCAGCGACATCAATAAATGGTTAAACGCCTCTTGAATCAATGTGTTTGAATCATGTGAACAACAGCTGGAGATCTCTGACCCTGTCACCTTTAAACTACATGAACTACATTCAGTGCCTTCAGGACGTTTACACATTTATTATAATATCTTTTTTAACTATTTCATCTTCTTGTTTAATTTCAGTTTTAAGTCGAAAACCCCTGAATATGTCAGTTCAGTTTTGGAACACCTCTTGGCTTTGTATCGAGGCAGAGACCAACACAGCTTTTGTTGGAGTTTCCCTTTAATTCGCCTGTTGGTTTCACTCGTGTTAAACCTCCATGGTGTTAAAAAGGATCACCAGGTAAAACACACACCGGCCCTGTTGTTCCTCAGTGAGAGTATCCTCTCACATCCTGGCTGCGTTAGTAAACCTGTGACCCAGCCGCTGTCAGCAGCAGTCGGGTATTTCCAGACGTGAGTATCGGAGCCTGTCAGGCCTTCAGCCCGCGTCTCTGCTCCGACGCCTGGAGTCGACTAGAGACAGTGCGGGTTCGTTAAAAAGACATTAGTTGTTTCTTTAGCGAACATGAGACCCATTGATCTACGTTTCACACGTCCGATGCCCATGAATCCCACCGACAAGCACCGTGTTGTTGTCGCTGCCGGAGCGCTCTGGCACCGACGTTACACCGCAGTCTCACCTCCTTTCTTCTCCGCAGTTTTTAAAAGGATACTGTCCATGGCGGAAGGCATCCTGCTCCTCTCGGTTGATGTCGCTGCTCTGCTCGCGAACACCTCTCCAACAATAATCTGGGAAATAAAGCCGGACTCGTTGGCTGAAACTTCTGTTCGGGTTTCGGTCGTCGAGTTCTCCTGCACTTCCGGGTGTCTTTCCAAAATATCAGCGACGTCATCGTCACGTGGCCGCGGTATTCCGTTTGACGTCACGAGGGAGCTGCCCCCCCCCCGCGCCTCCCCCCCCCGCGCGTAAAATATGAATGAAAAGCAGAAGAAAGAAAAACAAGCTGTTGACAAATAAACACTTTCAACGTGTTTGTTTATTTGTTGTTGTTGTGTGAGTGGGTACAACCAGATGGGAGCGGGGGCGGGGAGGTGGGCGGTGATCGCGGCTGATTGATGATCAGATTTACGGTGTGGATCGCGGCGGGGAGAGGGGATGACTCACTCCGCCTGATGTGATGCTTCACCCCGCATCGGCTCCTCGGCAGTGCGGTGGCGCGCCGGTAGTTAAAGCCTGACACGTCGGTGCGTGTGCTCCTCCACCGATACACAACAAACTTTATTTAAAAGCAGAGAGGGGGAGAACAAGGGAAAGTGTTCCCACGCACACACACGCGCGCACGGTTTGTATCCAACTCGCGCGGCCGAGCGTCGTGATTTACCGTAAATTTCGTGACGCCTGATTGCCATGGAAACAGTGCTCCCTGCGCTGAAGTGTCCGTGTTAAGTTCAGCATCAACCTCTCAGCGGGGGTCGGATAAAAAACCTGTTGGCCACAGCTCGCTGCTTATTTCATCTCCTGCCTTTACTTTCCACTTTCGTCTGGACACACAGCAGGTGAGCTGGTTTTTTACTGTGTCTCATTCTGACAGTTATTTAACCTCATTGTTGTTGAGACAGTTTAAGGCATAATATCAGTCTTTGTTTTGGGATGGCTGTCAACTTAAAAGCTGCGATCATGTGTTAAATGTACCGTAAAATGCATATTTGAACTAATTGGAAGCATCGTGTTAAGTTTAGAGCACAATTGATTCCACATTAAAAAGAAAAAAACAAATGGCCTGTGCAAAAATGCTGCTGCTGTAACAGTTTAAAAAAATCCACACATATAAAAACCAGATCACGAATAATATAATCTGTGATGTGCTATATTCAGTCCAGCAGGTTTAGTGGTCAGGCCCCCTGAAGTGGTGCATTTTGTTTTTTGCGCACAGGGAAAGGATCCAGGAGAACCAGTGTGTGATGCTTCGTTCAGTGGCTGTATGACTCATATAGTCTTATCTATAAAGAAGCCAAGAGGCTGAGGAGCAGTCCTGCTGCAGGACCGAGCTGATGTATCCCGGGAGATTCACTAGAGGCTGCTGTGGGCCACACTTCCACATGTGCCCCGAGTCACATAGACCACAGAATCTACAGCCACTGAACTGAACCACCTCCTCACTGGTGGGGATGACCGTCAAAATAAACTGAGGAACACACGAGGCTGTCCACGCACTGTGCACGCAGCAGATGATCCGGTGCTGTTTAAAGATGCATCACATGGCCAGGTCCGTTTGAAAACAATACTAATATAATCAACACATATCACATAATATTACTCCTCCATAATAACTATTTATACGAACCTTTTATCACCCAATAATCCATTAAAACACATTTTAAACAGTTGCATAATCTGCTCATCCAAATTATATGTAAAATTGGTAAAGGAACTTGATGGAACAGGGATCACCTTTAACGTGAAATGATAATTATAATAATAATAATATAGAAGAAGCCTCTTGGATGAGAGGTGAGAAGTCTTCAAGAAACACAAGCAAGTCCAGCTTCTGTATATGTACACTTACAACTCCTAAGCATACCATGACCTGGATGACTGAGAATATTCACAGAAAAACTGATAAAATACTTATACAATTAGCAATGATAGTACTTAGAATGGCACTCAGTATAGTGCATACTGCCTTGGTCAATCAGTTCTCTTGAGAATCCACATTTAAATTCACAACATCCAGGTTTTTATTTGGGTCTGCACCAAATTGCACCCACTCATAAATATCAGTCCCCTAAACACTATCTCGCAACGTTAAAGTAGGTGAAAAATAATCCTGGATCCACCCCCAGATCTGGAGCCACACCAAAATTGAATGTGCTCTTCCCTGGTCCATACCACATCCTTCCAGCAAGTTTCATGGTAATCCATCAAGTAGTTTTTGCACAATCCTGTTAACTAACAGACAAACAAACACACACACAAAACAATAATATAATACCTCAGTGATGTTTCAAGAAGTATAGATCTCCTGAAGTTTTATGGAATTGCACTGATATACACATCTCTGCAAAAGCATTATGTGAGTATTGTTATGGTGGAGCAGAAAAACAAAACCTTTCAGTTTATATAGTGTGCATTTAAATGTACACATTCAAGCTCCTTTCTGTTTTTGGTTGTTTGTTTTAAAGGAAGTATCCAGTGACAACTGGGTGAAATTTACCCCCCCCCCCCTTAAAGAAATGTTTAGTATGATGCGCTGATGTTGGCTGACGCATGAAGGCAGAAAAAAAGATAATTAAAAGGACTTTATAACGAGTTGAGGGATGATGAGAGAGCATTCATTTTTCAAAACACCCTGAGGATCCTTAACTGATCCCTCATCCCTGCTGTTGTCATAAACATATCTGAGTGTGAGGATCTTTTAAAGCTTCCAGCAATAGACAAAAAAAAATCTGACATTTTCTTCAGTAGTGAGTGAGTCAGAGAACATGGCGTACTCTTCTCCCTCTCACAAATACATTGTCACATTATAACAGCAGGGATAAACACATCGTCAATCAGCTGCATGCTGTGTATTAGAAACAGTCAAGTGTACAAGCACAGCGGTGTATGCTTGCTCTGGCATGACAAGCTTCAGTGCTCAGATTAACACACGTGTGCAGCTCACTCAGCTCTCATACGTCTCTCAACCAAGGTTGTCTCTGTGTCTGACAGCCAGTGAATGACACGCCTGCAGGTGAGTCACCTGTAGGCAGCAAATGGCTGCATGATCATGGAGGAGATTCAACATGGCGGCTGCTGAATGTTTCCAGCACGTCAAATGGCATGAGAGGCAGTGGCCAGTGCAACAGGAATGTCCCGTAACAAAAGAGTTTATTTTAAAACTCACAAAGCATTCTGGGAGGAGTTGGAAAGAAGGCCCAGTCATCTCATTCATAGCTCAGCTACAGCCACACCTTACAAATTAACTTTCTGCATTAGATTAGAAGTTTAAAAAAGTATTTTATTAGGACTTATCCATAGAACATTCAGTCATGATCTGTGATATAATTTCTTGTTGCTTATTTAGTTTTCTGTTCAAGCCAGTGTTTGGTTTGTCCATTCTGCAATACTGTTGAAACATGGCAGTGCAACATGGTGGAGAACCAGTTCTTAATGAAAAGACCTCGTTTTAAAGTTATAGAAACAAAAAATATTTGATTCATATTATGTCAATAGATCCTCCATAATTCCAGACATTGATCCTTTGATCGACATACTGCAGTCAGCATGGGACATGCTGCTCACATGTATTTATGGATTTGAAACTTTCAGGACCTGAGGAAGACCAAAAAAGACAAGACATTCAAGAAAGCAAATGAGAGAAAAAGGATAAGAATAAAGGTGTATACAAGGTGATGGGATAATGCGAAGTAAAAAAAAAGTGATTTGTTACACATTGCCATTTGTAAAGGGCATCTTGCACCGAAAACAAAAGGGCAAGGCTATTGGTTTATGTTGCTCTAAGAAAAAGCAGTGTTTGTTAGATTATGGCAGACGTTAGCTGTGGTGTGATAAATATGTCTGACCTCTCTTTCACAGGTAAGGAGGATGGCGCTTCAAATAGAGAAGAGGTTCCACAACTTGACCCTCGAGCAAGTCCAAGCACTGGACAAGGTCTTGACCGAGGTCATCCCCATACACGGACGAGGAAATTTCCCCACCCTGCAGGTGAGAGCAAAAGACATCATCCGCGTGGTGAAGGATCGGCTGGTCGAGAGAGACATCCAGGTGAAAGACATACGGCTCAATGGTGCGACCGCCAGCCATGTCCTGGTGAAGAATAACGGCCTGGGCTACAGGGACCTAGACATAATTTTCGGAGTGGAGCTGCCCAGGCAGGAGGACTTCCAGGTAATTAAGGATGTGGTGCTGGGCAGCCTGCGAGACCTCCTCCCCTGTGGAGTTAACAGACGGAAAATCACTTGCCTGACAATGAAGGAAGCCTATGTGCAAAAAATGGTGAAGGTTTTCAATGAGCATGACAGATGGAGCCTCATCTCATTGTCGAACAACAGAGCTAAAACTGTGGGGCTCAGGTTTGTTAGTTCCCTGAGAAGACAGTTTGAGTTTAGCGTGGACTCGTTCCAGATAATATTAGATCGCATGCTTGAGTCCTACTGGGAGACTGAGAGGAGGCAAGGAGGGAAGTTACCAATGAAACCTGGGAATTTGGCTAAAACAGACAATGAGGAGGAAAAGAAAAAGCAGGAGCAAGCAGGCGTTCTTCCAGATGTTGGAGGGGATATTGACAGAGACTCAGTGATGGCAACCGGTGAGGAAAGTCAGTGTCTGGAAGAAGTAGTTTCTGTGCATGAGAGAGAGCTTCCACAGGCAGATGTGAAGCGGGATGATGGGAAGCATGAGGCCCAGCAGGTGTCAGAAGCAGAGAGCATTAACTTACAGAAGGAGGAAGAGGAAGTAGACGGCATTGAGGATGTTGATTCAGAGGAGGACATTGTTTTTGAGCTGTGTGAGGAAACTGGAGAAGAGAAAGAACAGTTTCACAGTGATTTTCCTTTAGCTTCAACGCCTAAAACTTTATTTACAGACGTCAGGGATCCACAGATGACACAAACATGTTTAAAGCTCCAGGACAATGAAGAGCTATGTGAGTCGCAAGCTTCCCAGCCAGTGTCTATTACACATATAGCAAAGTCAACTCCACAAGAAGTTGTCCATTGTGAAGAAAATGCTCAGTTCAAAGTAGACTCTGTAATCTGCAAGACTGAAAAGACCTCAGACCCACAAGACTCACAGCTTGAGTTCTCCTTCCCTCCTCCAGCTAAGAAAACCTGCAGCACATCACAGGAAGTGGTACCAGACTTTTGCCCCTCACCGAAATTACAAAGAAAAATGTCCCGGAAGATGATCAGTAAACCCGAGAAATGGTCTCTGCTCACAGATTTGTCAGATCTTACAACACAGCTGTTTCCACCCATAGAAATCCCCAAACCACTTCAGCCGAAGCCTTCACCACTGGACACCGCTCAAGTTCATCGCTCAAACGAACCGGGCGCCCAGTTGGAGAACTTTGAGGGTAAAGATGCTCTCACAGTTCCCTCATGCAGTCCAGCTAGTATGCCTCAGGGTGCCACCGGCTCAAATGAAACCACAGAACAAACTGTTAAACCAAAACACTCAAAGAAGCCTCCTGATTCAGAGACTCAAAGCCACAAGTGTGCAGCGAACATCGGCACGCAGCCTCAGGTTGTCGAGCAGAAACCTGAGCTGACGGACACGGTCCTGAACAGGTGTGGTTCAAACTCATGGGCCGGGGCAGCGGGGGAGCCCACCATCACCATCGAAGCTGAGTGCATGTACGGAGACTTTGAGCAGGCGATGGACCACCTTCGCCACCGACTTATCGCCACCCACAACCCAGAGGAGATCCGAGGAGGGGGCCTGCTGAAGTACAGCGACCTGCTGGTGAGGAACTTCAGGCCGGCCAGCGAGACGGAGATCAAGTCGTTGGAGCGGTACATGTGCTCCCGCTTCTTCATCGACTTTCCTGATGTGAGCGAGCAGCAGCGCAAGATCGAGGCCTACCTGCAGTGCCATTTCATCGGCAGCGAGGAGACGAGCAAGTATGACTACCTGATGACGCTGCGACGCGTGATAGACGAGAGCACGGTGTGTCTGATGGGACACGAGAGGAGGCAGACACTCAATATGATCACTGTGCTGGCCCTGAGGGTGCTGGGTGAGCAGAACGCCATCCCCAACACGGCCAACGTCACCTGCTTCTATCAGCCGGCCCCGTACATGACAGAGCCCATTTACAACAGTTACTTCATCACCCAGGCCCAGCCGCCGCTCGTCTACCACCCCTACCCTCTCCACGTGCACATGCAGACTGGCCTGGTGTAACTACAGTGGCGTGCCCACAGGGAGGCATGTTAGTTTTCAGCATGGTGTTCTGCACACAGAGGCACACGTGGAAGTTTTAGCAGCAACAAGCAACCACGGGCGTAGTGTTGTTTCATACTTTGAAATCCCTCCTGCTTATGACATGAAAGATCCTGGTGGGTCCGAACTGAACAGGCTCTGGAGGCAACGCATGTCACCCTTTGAAGACGAAGGCTTTTGAAAAGGAAAGAAATGCAAAGAGTCAAATTTTTCCTTGAGCTTGTAGAAAGGATTTCATTGAAGTGGAGGGACTTTGTTTGAGGCTGTTTCAGCTCAGTTCTGGTCGGGCTCTGCACTGGTCACCCTGCCCTGATGAAGAGAACGTTGCCATGTGATCATTCTTCACAGCAACAAGATAAACATAATATAAAACATAATCTCTGATTCATCTGGTGGCAACAAAAACCTTAGTTTGAATAATGATAAATTGTTTCCAGGGGGTTCAACCCTCATGTAGCTGTTTTGTGAACCATCATCCTCTGTATAGTAAAAATCCGCATGTGTGTATTCATTGTATAGAAATAGGTCAGCAGACATACATGAGCAAAACTTGCTGTGGTATTTCCGTGATGTCATAAGTTCTGTATTGGTGAATGTATATAATTTATTTCTAAGGCAGAAACAACAGAACCCTGATTCAGTAATAGTATGGACAATAGAAAATTTGAGGATTCTGAAGCAGGGTGAACCTTGTATCAATCTATTTGAAAAATAACTGTAAACTTAATACTGTAAGTATTTCTCTAAACATTGAATATTCATGACAAAATAAAATCTGCTTTATTTATTATTTATAATTTGTTTTACTGGAAAAAACTCTTGACAGATTGAATCCTGATTGGTTTACATAAATATGTGACATCACATTCTCCACACCATACTGCCCACTTCAGACCAGTGAGAAAACAAATCTCTCATGTGGAAAATGATTCAAACTGTGGGACACAAAAACCTCTGTTTACGCAAGAATCAACACTCATAACAAAAATCAGATTGAGAAAAGGAGTTTTCTCTAAATGTTAAAAAAGTATTTAAAAGATGATATGTAACTTTAATCTATAAAAGTTGAAAAAATAAATGTAGTAACCCCCCTAACCTGTAGTTCTCTAAACATGAATTACTCTCTGAAAAATCACAGAAATTAAAAAAAATCCTGGATCTGAACCCCTGATTTGGATTCACTCCAAAATTAGCTGGGTTCTTCCTTGAGTCATGTCCCGCCCCTCCACAAAAGTGAATGAAATGTCCTGTTAACTAACAAACAAACACCATGGTGGATTTAATAACAACACCCCTTTTCTGACCCTGTCTCCCCTCCTGATCATTTTCATAAAGTCCCTGAGTATATAAAAGCAAACTCAGAGTTGTTGTGGTCCCTCTCAGTGACAGATGTTATGGTTCTAGGATGTGTTTTACTTGTACTTGCATTGTAATCGTTTCAACGTAGTGCTCTGAGTTATGACTTGGAACTGTGGTTGTATCTCTGAATTCATCCTTCATTTTGGCAAATAGATTCTCATATTCCTCATGAGAGAAGCATCACAGGGACCTGCCTGCTGGTGGCTTAATGAAGACTTGTTTTTAAAATCGAACATGTTCACAAATTAGAGTGCATGTGAAATCATCTTCCCGATCCCATCTCCGACAGGTCGTGTGTGTATGTGTTTGCATATACAGTTCATGTACTCAGTATTTAAAAAAAACACAGGTTTGGATGTGTGAGCTGTTCAAACTAACTCATGTGTAACTAAAGGCACATACGTGTTGTGGAGTGAATACGATGTTTCAGACGTGCTTGTGAATCTCTGATGAAGTATTGAAGACATCTAGAACACTGCGTGCAGTCGTGCCCTACGTGGATTTGAAGTGACGTATCTATCTTGAGACTGTGGGTGTGTTGTATGTGTATCGTTGAGGAATCGTTTCACCAGTGGAGAATGTCAAAAATATTCCTGTTCTAATATCTAGTTGCTCAGATTGTTGTGTTATTGTGATAATAAAAAAAATAACATAACCACTTTTTATCTGGAGTCTGAGTCTCACTGACCTCGGCTTATTTTCATTAAGCTGCAGGGGCAGCCATTTGTGTAATTGTGTTGGCACGCATTTTTCAATTATGGTGGATAGTCACATTTTCCACGTTACTTTGACAAGCCGGAGTTTTATCAGATTGTTTATCTTCTGATCAGATATTACTGGCACATATCGGCCATTATACGGGCACTTTTTCAGTGGTCAGACATGAATATGAAAAGTAATTTGTCATTTGTATGTATCTCATTATGCTCATACATGATCTAAGATGGAATATGACACATGCATCACACGTTTAGATTAGCTGTTCTCCTGCCAGTAGAGTGTGGGGAAAAATTGATGATTAAGAGTTATAATAAGCCTGTTGTTGCTGTATTAGTTTAATTTGGAACTGAAAAAAATCATAATAAATTTCACTGATCCTCCTCAAACCTGACACTTTTCTGATCATCCTGTTCTTGGATAAACTGAGGACACTTGAAATATTGAATGAACTGATAAAACCCTCAGTATGATTCATCCAAAGCGTCAGTTTCCCCCCTAGACAGCTGTCTATTTTCAGTCCTGTGACGGTTTATTGGTGTATTTATAGTGTCTTGATTCTTTATATGCACTACACACACTTTTGCAGTGGTATATTTGCATATTCCACTGATCATGCCCAAATTACAGATGAAAAATACGACATAAATCTCTTGCATTTATAGATACTATGAATTCAGACAACATAATCCTAATCCTGAACATTTTTAATAATATATAATGTAATATAATTTCAAAATGATTTGGTCAACATCATGTCTAAAGAAAATTAGCATCAGAATTCTGCTATACTAACTACAATGCATACACTTCTTATCACAAAGTGAGGGTGATTTTCAAAATTCAGATTTTACATGTTTAAAAAAAGTTATCTTTTCTTCAGTCAATCTTTTCTTCCCCACCCCCCGAGCATCCACTAAAGTGACCTTTCCCTCTTTATGCATTGATTTTAACTCCCATGATCCTCCAGTGTCTCTGCAGTCTCTAGGTGTGGCAGAGCGTACGTGCGTCACAGCTCAACCTTGTTTGTTCCTAGTCTGACTCACCCCAGGTTCCAGCGCATTAATGCAGCTGCAAATGGTATGACCAGATTTACAACTGTTTATCATGACCGACAGACAGTTTAATCTGAAATGTCCTCATCTTTGCCTTCGGTGCACGTTTATGACCCGTCATAAATCCGTGTGCTGGTTAAACATGCACAGAAATTATTGTCAGACATGGGAAATCTATTTTTAAATAAACCGACAAACACTTGTAACGAGGAATTTGTTCTTTTTATTAAAAAAAAAACATACAATCAGAACATTGTGTATAAAAGACAGTCACATACGCTGATTCCACCTATAGCAGAAGTTACTGTTGTATTTGTCGTCAACTACTCTTAAACTTTGAGGCAACACTAAGAGCCATCTACAATATGAAAATAACATCCCAAAAATGTGAAGCATAATCTCCTCACACTCTACCAGGATCATTTCTAGATGCCGGTTAACGCTGCCACTTGGAGCACCCTGGATGCTGATTTGTGTGTTTTATCGCTGAGCACCTTGACACGAACCAAACAGAACCTCTGAGGCCTCTTTCTCCCACCAGTGACCTCACAGAGGCAGATTGGTGAGGAGGCGTGTTCGGAGCACCCGGTGTTTGAAATGACAACTATTCTGGTTCCTCCTTGAGGGAGATAGCCACCGAAGAGTGCACAAGCTCTTAAGTAAACATTTTCGGTGCAATCCATGTCGATTTCAGAAACATAAACTAGTCTGTCATGGTTATAAAAGTATACACAGTGATTCTGACACCAACTTAACACCTGATTGTATATCATGGACATGAAACATCATGTGTAGTTGATCCATTCAAAGTGAGACACCCATCAGTTCATAGATGTTGGAAAATGGGAAAAAATTAAAATGGTTCAACGCACTCAATTAAAAGGGCTGATCTGTAGTTGCTACGCTTGCTTTAGATAAAAAGAACACAAGATTCATACCAGACTGTCAGCTTCACCATACACAGGTTGAAAGAGGTTTCAAGTTATATCCTGTTTAATTGTTCAAACTTTAAAAAATAATAAATTGAATGCGTGCTGGCACAGTTCAAAAACATTTTTACACAAAAATCAACAGGCTGTCTCATTTATCTTTCTCTACCATCTTTATTATCAGCTGCCTTGTGGATTCGATAAATGTGCAAATATTTCAATTCCTCATCACTATTCATGTAAGAAACAACTCGTAAACCAAGTATAATACAATTGAAAAATAAATACGTCTGTGGAAGTGATTTGGCCAAAGGCCCCTTTTCATGCCGCAGAGTTGGAGCAGGGTGTCGTGGAAGCAGCTATGAATGGATGCAGGGTCTGATCCATCGGAGAGCACAACAGTATAAACACAGTCAGGATGCAGTGGCCTCATTTACCCAAGAAAGAAAAATCACTTTTTTTTTTAAAAACACCAGATTCTGACTTATTAAGTGAATCAAAGCGCAAAGAAGCAGGAAAAACATTTAACATCACCGGCCAAGGACGTCAGGAGGGATATTATCATGAGTCTGTATTCTACTGACCAACCTCAATGATTCTCCAGTACTGTTTGTTCCCAAACAACACTGGACCTGCCTCCAGCCACAAACTATATCTAAATGATGTGTGATCTGATAACTAAGGCCTGTGGTTGTGAAGAAAGACCAATAACATTGACATCAGTTACCATGAGTGATACTATATCTCTCTCGGTGTGGTTGTGAAAGCTAATAACCACTAGCATGAGAGTTCTGGTGATTTACTTTTTGAAAACAAACAAAGAAGACATAATAAAGTTTGAGCACCATTTTTTGGCTTCTCCGCATCCTTCTTTGGTGACCAGGAATAAGAAAAGTTTGTAGGAGGGTTGAGGAGGAGCCGATCTAGTGTTTCATTCCTGGATGAGGAGGAGAAGAGCAGTGCTGCATCTTAAAGGCTCCTCCAGAGAACAGTAAGGCCGAGGTGAGTTAGACCAGTTGGAGCAGGTCCGTGTTGAACAGTAGCTCTGTCCACCAGGGATGAAAACTCCTTGGCAACATTTCATGAGCACCTGCTATCAGTTTGAGAGTCACAAGCAGTCTCAGATAAAAAAGAAACCACATATATCTCTATATATGTATATATCATATATATACATACTTGTACAAAAAGAAAGAAAAAAAATCCCTGAAGTATTTCTCATGTTTTGTGTTGAGGTTTGGATAGGGGCGACGTGTCAGTGGCTCCAGCCCATGAGGTGGCTGACACGGGCCTTTTCAGTCATACGCCGTACCCGTCCTGATCGGGACATGCCCAGGTTGAGGGGGTCATCCTTCGACCCATGGCCATCGTCCTCTGACTCGTCCTTGTACAGAACTGTCCTGCGGCCCTGGTTGCGCGTGTTGACCCGCCGAGACTTGCACTGGTTGCGTCTTGGACTGCTACCTGCTGCTACTGCTACTGTCGCTACTGTTGCTGCAGACCCACACTGCGCCTCGTCAGAATTGTCTTCATCTTCCTCCTCCTCAGGCTCCTCCTCCTCAGGCTCTTCCTCCTCAGGCTCCTCCTCTTCAGGCTCCTCCTCTTCAGGCTCCTCAGGCTCCTCCTCCTCTTCTTCCTCCTCTTCCTCCTCCTGAATTACATCTACCTGTTGTTGCTGCTCCTGTTCTTCTTCTTCCTGTTCTTCTTCTTCCTCCTCCTCCTCTTCTTCTTCATCATCATCAACCTCCTCATCTTCATCTTCCTCCTCCTCCTCCTCCTCTTCCGGAAACTGCACTCGTGCTCTTTTAGGTGTCTGTGCCAGGTCCTCTCCTCCCTTGTGTCTCCGTTTCCCTGAGGCCGCCACCTTACCCTCAGCCGACAGACGTACAGATAGACAGGGGGCTTTGCTGTAGTCGTGATCTCCCCCCTCGACATACTTCTCCTCCTCAGAATCAGAGCTGTTCTCGCTGTCCGATGATGAGGAGGAAGACGACGACGACGAAGAGGATGATGACTCTGACGAGGAGCCGGACAGCTCCTCATCGTTGTCT